GCTTGTAAACAGAAAATATCTTTGGTTAAATGAAACATATCGGCGGGTTACGAAAGATACGGCGTGTGAACGGAAGTTTCGGCGGGTAAACGAAATATATCCTTGGTTACATAATAGATATCGGCGGGTGAACGAAAGATACGGAGTGTATACGGAAAGTTGGTACGGAAGTAGAATAAAGTCGGGTAAACGGAAGATACGGCGGGTAAACGGAATATATCCTCGGTTAAATAACAGATATCGGCGGGTAAACGGAAGACATCGTGGGTTAGATGATACTAGATACGGCGGGATAGGTTACGTCGAAGGTGTCGAGTAAACGGAAGACACCGTGGGTAAACGGAATAATGTCTCCTGTAACCTGCGATGTCTTTCCGTTTACCCACGGTGTCTTCCGTTTACTCGACATCTTCGAAGTGCCTTACCGTATCTTCCGTTTACCCGCCGTATCTTCCGTTTACCCGACTGTATTCTACCGTAGTTTCCGTCTCTTCGACGAGTCTTCCGTACCCGCCATATCTATGTATCTGTCGTTTAACCCACGATGTCTTTCGTTTACCCGCCGTACCTATCATTTTTCCCACCATGTCTTCCCGCCGTATCTCCTGTGCAACCCACATGCATCCCACGACGTCTTCCTGCGCCCGCCGAATTTTTTACCCGCCGTGCCCCCCTCCTCCCTCCCACTTCTTCTTTCGTGCGCTGGCCACGTGCTTTCCTTAGATCACGAAGGAGGAGGAGCGAGTGGATACGGTGTGTATGCGGGAGAACCCGTTCTACGTGAACACCGTCCGGGCTTTCCGCGACCGCCGCTACGACTACAAGGTGCGCCGTGAATCGGCTGAAGCCATCCTTGATTCCGCGGGGGAGTGGGGGGACCATCTAACATTGTGGTTCTTAACTGACGGATGGATGGAAACGAAAGGGTGAAGCGGAACACTTGATGAGCAGTCAAGTTTTTCGAAGAGAATACGCGGGTATGCTGTAGATAGATTAAGACGCAGTCGTTGTTTAATGCCAGTACGTCGCGGCCGCGTTGCATCAGGCCATGAAGCGACACCGGGGGGTAGCCTTGTTAAAGCACTAGATCGATGATTGCAAGCCTGACGGAGTGCTGCACGTACTTTTCCGGAACCATGCCGAAAATTCGTTGTGACGAAATCTGAGGATCATCTCAACAGCACTTCAAAAACAGAAAAACACTATGAATAACTATCATGAGGTGCAGATCATCCATACATTGTCTCAAACACGAGGACACGTTGAAAACATTTTGACAGTTCTCCTAAACAGGAGCGCGTGAAAAGTAGGTGCAGATCATCACGAAGGACTACAGAATGTAAAGTCAACTATGATTGTAGGCAAGACCCCCGGCACGAACAATACAACGCAGGGAGTACACTGCAGAAGGACGCACAACGTTTACCACGGCAGGTTCGGCAGTCCGTCCACATCATTCCACAAACGAGACGAAAGGATCGAAAAAAACTCAGGAAATGCGGTCCAATGGTCTCGACGATGACGGTGAACGAAGGTAGATCACGACTAGAAGGATAAGAAGGCCAAGTCGAAAAACGAAATGAACCGAAACCTCTCGGGCAATACGATGCAAATGCTCTTGACAATGACGGTGAACGAACATAGATCACGACCAATGATCTTGATGATGACGATGAACGAACTTAGATCGTGTGACGAATGCAGTTGACGATGACCATGAACGAATTTTCGTAGATCCTGACGAAGAAGGCTAAGAAGGCCAAGTCGAAGGCTGCCGAGGAGGGGGACGCCGTCGGCGCCAAGGAGGCCGGAGACAGGGCGCAGGTCTTCGACTCGCTGCAGCTGGCCCACAAGTGCATCCTTAACTCTGTGAGTTTGCTCTTGTTGTTGTTGTTGTTGTTGTTGTTGTTGTTGTTGTTGTTGTTGTTGTTGTTGTTGTTGTTGTTGTTGTTGTTGTTGTTGTTGTTGTTGCTGTTGTTGTGTCATCACGGGGTGATGCGGGATGAAAAATGCAGGCAGCAGAAGGACCCGCCCACAGCTGGCTGCCAGCTGCCGGTCGTGATGATTCCTAAGCTCAACTGCTGACACAGCTGACGTGCTTGACTCGAAGAGCCTGACGGACCTCAGCAAAAACAAGAACAATTATTCACAAACCTGCACACGGTCTCACTTTCGTAACACTCCGGCGGTAATATTCAATGGAACGTTAACTTTTTTTCTTTCCGCCCCCAGTTCTACGGTTACGTGATGAGGAAGGGCGCACGCTGGCGTTCAATGGAGATGGCAGGCATCGTTACCTACACGGGGGCGATGCTCATCAAGCAGGCCAGAGAGCTGGTGGAGCAGGTAGTTAGAGCTTTTAAGGACTGCTACTTCGAAAACCATCTTGCGGGGTCACAACCAAACGAAGCAACCCAATATCCCAATATGGTGCGGGATCGTACTCCTCGACAGCAAGAGGCACTATCAAATCAAACCCGAGAAGTTTGTTCTATCGTTATCTTCGTGCAGGGGAAATACATCGTACGCCGGAAACAAACAACCGGTGAATATATCATTGCTGTACAGCAGGCGACAAGCCAGTGCCTTCAAGATGCTCTCCGAATTTAGGCTTACCTTGCATGCGGCTTGAGATCACGGCGTTTTGGTTGCGGGTGCCGCTGGGAGGGGGCGGCAAGCTCGTTGTCACTCCCCGAACAAGAGATTCTCGATACAACATTCTTGCCGAGCTGTTTGAGCACCGTGCATTTGTTCGGCTGTGTTTTGTGTTTTCACCTTTCTCGAAGTTTGCAATGCGGTGTGAATACTTGGGGGCCAAAACGCGCTTGGGGATTCATGGTGTGCTTGGGATGAATGGAGCAAATCTTAGAGGAAGCGCGTGTTTCGTCGCATGTATCTATATGCATAAAGCATACTTCGGAGCAAGTACATGGTTCTGGCGGCCTGCCTGTACGTTCGTGCATATGCGGTCGTGCGTAACCTGAAAGTGTTTCCGTGCTGCATGTCAGATCGGGCGTCCTCTTGAGCTGGACACGGACGGGATCTGGTGCATCCTACCCTCCTCTTTCCCGGAGAATTTCACCTTCACGTGAGACAATACTTGTACTGTTTGCACCCCAAGAAATCTTCCGTAGATATTTGCTGCCCTTGGGGTTGGTGATGATGAGCATGGTGGTCGTTGTTGATGTTGGTTTACCTTGATGATGATAATGTGGTCGTCCTTGTCGTTGTCGTTGTCCAGATAGTGATAAAAATGTTTGTAGACGTTTGATGCCGTCGTGGTTGGTGAATGATGATGTAGTTGTGTGTTGTGGCTTTCCGGATCTTGCGCGTGCTCCTGCAATCCTCGCACAAGACACGTGCTGCACAGAGTCCAATTTAGCATAGCTCAAGTCGATTGGCCTGCATCTCCATTGCCTACCCCTCCGTCCCCCTCCGCAGGACGAAATCCGGCGGAAAGATCCGGATCTCGTACCCCTGCGTGATGCTCAACGCGGATGTCCACGAGAACTACACCAACCACCAGGTCTGTGCGGTCTTTGTAGGTATACGAAAGAAGAAACGGAATTCATACTTTGTGTTTCTTGTCACATGTCTTGTACTTTTGTGTAGGACGTCCGGTCTATTTAGGTAATCCTACGCCCTATTTCGTGGTTACCCCTCGTGGTGTCACGTTCTCACTTTTCAATACCTCTCATGACTCTAATGATACCTACAGTAGCGTCTTTCGTTGTACGGCCCGCCGCCCTTCTTTTGCCCACGTTCCTCACAGTCGTAGGCAGCATATGGGCTGATATCACTGATGGCTTGTACGGTCAACCCTAGCACACAATTTCCATCCCATTCTATCCTGGATCTAAGCTTTTTACCCACGTCTAGTCTACGCGGAACCCCCCAGTCGAACATCCTGTTGTTTTCATTCTCTTCCTCTCTTGCCTCTTGTCATCTCTGAGAAGGGGTCTGAAAAAACCTCGTTTCCCTGTCGCTGGTAGTGTATTGTGTCACCCGTTTCGACCCCCTCTCCTCGCAACTGTAACTGTCATCATTTTGTCCTTTTGTACGTCAGTATCAAGACCTCCAAGACCCGGCCACGCGCAAGTACAACACGAAAAGCGAGTGCTCCATCTTCTTTGAGGTCGACGGGCCCTACAGGTACAGAACGCGCCCGCACTTAAGAACCTCTATGATAGTTTCTGCCGAGGCTGGGGTTCTTACTGTATTCCTGGGGTCATGCTACGAATGGTCGCTATATAGGTTTTAGAGTGGGGGTCCTTACCCGAGCTCCCAAATGGTGCTCAAGTTCCTAAATTTGAATATTTTGAGGCTCAATTTCTTGACTCCTGGTTTCTTAAGTGCGGGCGCGTTTTGTATGGCAGGGCATACGTGACGAAAACAAAACGAAAAAACACATTCCTGCTAGTGAAACGACGCGTTGCACATCAAACACATCACACAAGTATTTGTTCTTTGAGATGTTTGTTGGGGTGTCGGGAAGTCGGGCAAATTGTTTAATTTTGGTCGTTCGAGGCGGCAGGGCCCTTCAAGCTGTGCTTTTTCATTGGACCTTATTTTTTTCCAGAATGTTTTTTGCCTTGGCAAAGAAATGACAGCAAATGAGACAAACTGCGCACATTGGAATGAATAGTGTACATGCAATCAAACCTTTTGTCGAGACAAACATAGCAGTCACTCGTGTAGCAACTCGATAACAACGCACCCTCCCTACCCGGGCTAAAAAACGAAATTTTAATGCTTCAGCCCCGATAACCCTTACAACAGGTGTATTCGCGATTGCCCCCAAGTGACAGTTCGTTCCGCCTCGTACAAGCCCACCCAAGCCGAATAGTTCCGTCTTCCACCGTGTCCAGCAACATGACAAAACTGCATGGTGCTCCCTTGAAGAGGACAAGCAGCTGAAGACAGCGCTATCGTCAATGGTCTAACACCTAAGGCATGCAATTATGGGTACGCCCCCCCCCTTCCCGATTTATGATAGGTGCATGGTGCTCCCCTCGTCCACTGAAGAGGGCAAGCTGCTCAAGAAGCGTTACGCGGTGTTCAACCACGACGGTTCTTTGGCAGAGCTCAAGGGCTTCGAACTGAAGCGCAGGGGAGAGCTGGAGGTCATCAAGGTTTTCCAGTCCCAGGTGAGGCGTCCTTGCGCCCGGAAGCTTCCATTTGTTGTTGTCATGGTCATGAGTTTTTTTGTCGGTGATTGTGACGGTGATTGTGACGGTGATTGTGATGGTGTTCGTGCTGTTGTTGCTGCTGTTGCTGTCACCGCTGCTGCTCTTGTTGCTGCTGCTGGTGGTGTTGCTGCTGCTGGTGTTGCTGTTGTGGCCGTCTGTGTTGATGATCCCAACGGAATCGTCTCGTGTCTCGCGCGAGGCTCCTTGCCATCCTTAGACGGTGTTCGGGGCGGTTGTATGCATGTTGGAGGCTGCATGTTGCGTTGTGCGTGGTACTGCACACGCTCTTTTCTCGCCTCGAGCTTGCCTGCCCCGGGAAACAACAAACAACATGTAGGGTACACAACCACCAGCATGAATATTCCGGAGAAAATATGGTTCCCAGCCGGAAAACAAACGAAATGGAGCCTACAACACCATAAATGATTTTCTACCTCCGTGTAGTGTTGATATTGGTATGCATAGTAAGAAGACAATGAGGTTTTGTTCCTGATCGACCTCACGCAGGTGTTCGAGAAGTTCCTGCGGGGCGACACTCTGGCGCAGTGCTACGACGCCGTGGGGGAAGTGGCCAACCAGTGGCTGGACGTGCTCTACTCCAAGGGGGGAGACGTGGACGACGACGAGCTCATGGAGCTTATCTCCCAGAACAAGACCATGTCTCAGACTCTCGAAGACTATGGCACGGCCAAGGTGAGAAGAGGGGGGCGGGGGGGGGGGCGGGGGGGGGGG